TATTACATTTTTAGTTTTATTTAAAACTGTTTTATGAAACGATAATTATAATTTATGGGAATGATAATATGGAAGTTAGAAGTCAAATTGAAATTTCGCGCTAAAACATGGAAAACTCGATCTGTTTACGGTTATAGTTTTTGAGGTTACGTGAAGTTAGCTTCTTTCGTAGCTTTGTCGTTTCATGCAGTTCCATATAAGGGTTTTATGGAATAACAAATGATTTTTATCTGTGAATATATATAATAATAAAAGTGGCGTGAATATGTAATTTTATCAAAATAGTAATCATAAATGAAATACATGGAAAAGTGCTCAGTGAAAATTAATAAAAGTTATAACTTCTTTACAAGCTTTTTATGTGTATATATTATTGCTCAGAATGTTTGAACAAGGAAATTCTAATAGTGAAAATAACGTTTATGTACAAAAAGCATTGAAAGTTCGTCCTTGTTTTATTCGTTTAATGAGAGACAAGGAAGTAGATCAACGTTTATCCAAAAAATGCAAGAAGAATGAAACAGAAGTAACCAGCATTATTTGTAGAATATTAATATTTATATCTAATTTTCTTTTTATAATTTTTTATCTGTTAACATATAAGGGTAAAATAACATTTATTAATATTAATAAATTTTGAATATAATTTACAATCTAGTCAAATCATATTTTAGGATGCTTTAATTTTACAACGACTAGTTCTTCAAACAAAATTACAATTAAGTGAAGATGAGGAAAGTGTACCAGATGTATCAGCTGCAGTTCAAGAAATATTGGCAACAATTTTTACTGCTCTTTATAACCATCAAGATGAGGAAGGAAGGTGTTATTCAGACTCTATGGCAGAACTTCCAGAACATGATATTATTGATGGAAAGAAGTATGTTGCTTTCATCAAATTCTATTTAAAAGTTTTATTTTGTATTACTAATTTAGTATGAATAAATTTGTTGTAAATATTAGGGTACGAGGATTGTCATTAGACTTAATTAAAAGGAGATTGGATCGTGGAGTATACAAAAGATTAGATCGGTTCCAAGAAGATGTATTTACATGTTTAGAAAGAGCTAGAAGACTGTCACGTACAGATTCACAACCTTTTGAAGATAGTGTAGAACTTCAAGCATTTTTTTTACGTACTCGTGATGAAGTAACTCGTGGGGGAGATTTGCTACATTCACCAGCACTTAATTATACACTTCTTGATCTTTCTGCTCAAGTTGCAGAATTAAAACGGGTCAAGCAACAGCAGGAACTGTCATTACCTAATGAAGATGAAAGTTGTGATGGAAATGAGACAAAAGTATATAACATCTTACATTGTAAAAAATACTCTTACAAAGACTATATATGAATTTTAGGGTTACAAAAAGCATTCAATATATTTATTTTATTTGTCTAGGATTCTGAAACAAACACTAATACAGAAGGAAGTAACAGTGATAATGGTGGTTCAATGAGTTTCAATCAAGAAATATATAGAGCTGGTGACTTTGCATATATAGAACCTACAGAGCGAGGCATGGAATATAGTGTGGTTCTTATAGAACGTCTATGGACAAATGCAGAAAGTCAACAAATGTTATATGGCAATTTATTTTACAGACCAAGTGAAACTTATCATGTAGCATCTAGAAAATTTCTTGACAAAGAATTATTTAAAAGTGATGCTCATGTAGCTGTTCCCTTGGCCAAAGTAGCAGGAAGGTGCTGTGTATTAAGTGTCAAGGATTACTTTAGAATGCAACCAGAAGGTTTCTTAGAAAAGGATGTTTATGTATGTGAATCACGGTACTCTACGAAAGCAAGGGCTTTTAAAAAAATTAAAGTCTGGAATTTTGATCCAGATCATTTAAAATTAATTTCAAGAGATAAACCAATAGAACCAAAACGAGTAATATCAGTATATAAGGAAAGACTGGAAAAGCACAAAGAAGAAATTGCAGAACTAGAAGAAGGAGAAAAATTGACAGAGAAAGAAAGACCTGTAAGTAATAGAATTATTTTACAACTAGAAAAGTGGTACATCACACATTATATTTTAACTACATTGTAATGCAAAAATAATTTTGTTAATTATTAAAAGTAGTTTATTTTATTTTCTTTTATAGAATGTGATACTATATAATCCAGAGGATACAGAAAATACCTACTATGAACAATATAATACCTGTGCGGGTTCTGTAAAAAGTGGAGACTTTGTTTATGTAGCAACAGATGGAGGTAGACAACAAATTGCACAAATTGACGCTATATGGTCTACAAAAGAGTAAGTGATAAATTTTATTACAAACTATATATAATATAAACATTTATAAAAAGTGATTACTTCATTTTGTTTTCTTTAGTGGAAAATGTTACTTTAAGGGCCCATGGTTATTAATGCCTGTAGAAGTGCCACATGCTCCTACTAAGTTATTTTATAAACAAGAACTGTTCTTATCTACAGTTGATGGTACACATCCTATTGTGGCTATTGTTGGGAAGTGTGCTGTCCTTGACTATGGAGAATACATTTGTAGTAAGTACAGAAAATATTTAACAAAAAATATTTAACAA